TAGCCAAAACAGTTCTGTATAATAAAGGAACTTCCAAAGATATCACCATCTCTGATCTCTAACTCTACTATAGAGATACAGTAATAAAAACAGCTTGGATTGCCGTAAAAATAGACACTGGATCAATGCAATTGAATCAAAGACCCTGACATAAATTCACACACTTGTGAACATCTGATTTTTGACAAAGAAGCCAAAATTGTATAGTGAAAAAAAGAAAGCATCTTCAAAAAATGGTGCTAGCATAAACGTATCACATATGTAGAAGAATTCAAATGGATCCATATCTATCACCCTGCACAAAACTCAAATCCAAATGGATTAAAGACCTCAGTATAATTCCATTTACACTGAACCTGACAGAAGCAAAAGTAAAGTACCATTGAATGCATTGGCACAGAAGACTACTCCCTGAACACTTCAGTAGCACAGACTCTGAGAAACTGACAGTTTATAAATGGGACCTCCTGAAACTGAAAATATTCTGTAAGGCAAGGGGCATTGTGAATGAGACAAATCTCCAGCCTACAGAATGATAAAAGGTTTTAAGCAACCCCTTATCTGACAGGTGATTTCCAAAATGTATAAAGAACTCAAGAAAGAGCAGAATGACAAATATTACAATTAAGAATGGGGTAGAGATATAAACAGAGAATTCTCAACAGAAGGATCTCAAATGGCCTAAAGATACTAAAGGAATTTCTCAGCATCCTTAGTCATCAGAGAAATCCAACTCAAAAGACTCTAAGATAATATGGCTAAGATACAAGAAAAAAAATCTGATGACAGCTTATGCTAGAGAAGTTGTGGAATAAGCAGAGCACTCCCCCTGCTGGTGTGAGTTCAAATTTTTTCAACCACTTTGGAAATCAGTATATCAGTTTCTCAAAAGAAGAAAAGAAAAGAAAAAGGAACCAATTTACTTCAGTACCAAGCAATTCTAATCTTGGGCATATTCTACTCTTGGGCATATTCTCAAAGGATGCTCCATCATACCACAAGGACACTTGCTGAACTATGTTCTTAGCAGTATGATTAATTATAGCCAGAACTTGAAAACAACTAGATCTCCCTCAACCAAAGAATCGATAAAGACAACCTGGTACATTTACACAATGCCACATCATGTGATTTGCAGGCACATCCCAAGTGATGTAGCACAGACCTAGAAAGATAAACATTGTGTGTACTCACTTATAAGTGGATACTGGATATAAATCACATGATAACAAGGCTACAATCTACAGCCTTAGAGAAGCTAGATAACAAGGAGGACCCTTAGAGGGACACAGGTATCACACTGAGAAAGTGAAATAGATTAGATAACCTGGGTAAACTGGGAGCAGGGGGTAGAGGAGGAGGGTTGGTGGATGGAAACTTAAGCTATGGATGCTTGAGATAGGGGAGGGATAATAATGGAGAGCAATCTTGATATCTTGATAAAGGGGGGTGTTATAGGGCTAGAGAGGAACCTGGTGCCAGGGAAACTCACTGGAATCCACAAGGATGAACCCAGCTAAGACTCTAGCATTAGTGGAGAGGGTTTTGAAACTTGCCTTCTCCTATAATCATATTGGTGGCTAACCTAATTATAATCATAGAACCTTCATCCAGTAACTGATGGAAGTAGATGTAGAGATCCACAGTAAAATACAGGGCTGAGCACCAGGAGTCCAGTTGAAGAAAAAGAGGAGGGATTATATGAGCATGGGGTCAAGGTCATGATGTGGAAACCAACAGAGAGAGCTGACCAGAGTTAGTGGGAGATCATAGACTTTGCACTGAAATTTGTGGTCCCACATGGGAATGACCTAAGCCCTCTGCATGAGGGTGATAGTGAGCATCTTGGTCTCTTTGTGTTCCCTCATTGTGTGACCAGTGTCTACTCTTGGCACATGAGTTGGCTTTTTGGAGTGGTGGGATGCCTCACTCAGCCTTTATGCAGCAGGAAGGTGCTTAGTCCTGTCTCAACTTGGCATGCCATGCTTTGTTGACTCCCATGGGAGACCTTATCCTTTCTGAGGAGTGGATAGGGTGGTGGAAGGGAGGTGGAGGGATGTGACAGGATTAGAGAGGGAGGGGAACTGTGGCTAATGTATAAATTAAATTTAAAATTATTAAATAAAAGAAGAGCATAAAATACATCCCTTGGAACCAATGATCTGTGTACTTAAGAGTAGACTGCCCTCACTACCATGTGGGCAGAGAGAATGAATGATACACAGACCAGAGGTTGGGCAGTGAGTGCAGTTGGAGCTCCTTCACTAGTGTCCTGTCCATTGAGTCTCAAGATAAATGTCCTGAGACTTTGAAATATTGGGTTACAATTATTCTCCTGAGGATGCCTATCTTCTGGATAAACATTGTTTCAAGTTTAGTACTGGGGTTCCCAGGAAAAATTTTGATCCTTGTGTAGATCTCTCCTACAGTAGGTGGAATTAGCAGCCCCTGAGACCACAGTGAACAGGATGACAGGCTCTGCATCCCAACTGTGTGAGGGCATCAGGGAAGTTCAAGGTTTACTTTTTGAGCATGTCTGATGGAGCCCTAGACATGCTATTGCAGTTTTCCCAGTGATCTCCTGGTGGGGATATCAGGATACACACTCAGTAATCAGAAAAGCATTTCCCTCAGCCATGAGTTTCCCTTGCGACTGATTTTCATCCTGAAGTCTACTAACCCCAAGTACCTACCAAGACCCTTTTCTGTTTTATTTGTCTGAAAAAGAGTCTCTGCCTGGGGAACCATAGAGTTACCCCACTTATGGCATCTATTATAGGGGAAGACAGGATTACTGCAGGACAATCACGTAGGCAAAGGGCAACGGTTACCCAGGAAGATCACAGAGGATGTGGGGACACACAACACACAGCTCAGCCAACACCCGATGCTGGGAGATTGCTGCACTGGCTGTTTTGGATGTCAACTTGATGCAAGCTAGGGTCATCAGAGAGACAGGAGCCTTAATTGAATAAAAGCCCCCATGTGATAAAGCTGTAAAGCATTTTATTAATTAGTGATCAGTGGGGGAGTGTCCAGACCATGGCAGGTGGTGTCATCCCTAGACTGGTGGTCCTGGGTTCTGTAAGAAAGAAGGCCCAGCAAGCTAAGGGAAGCAAGCCAGTAAGTAGCACTCCTTCATAGCCTCAGGCTCCAGGATCCTGCCCCATTTGGGTTCCTGTCCTGACTTCCTTCAGTGATGAACATTAATGTGGAAGTCTAAACCAAATAAATTGGTTGCTCCCCAATTTGCTTTTTGGTGTCTCTTTCTTCACAGCAAAAGAAACTCTAACTAATATAGTTACCTTGAAATCCTCCATAGGAAGAGGGTGCCCACTGTTTTTTCCAGGACACAAAGGTTACTCTTTCCCAACACTGAGGATGTGAAACTCCTGACACAACTGCTCCTGGGCCTCCCACTTGGATAAGATCTTTGAATGGTGACACTAGTGATAAATAATTGATATTCATCTCTATTTATCACTCAGGTGGTCCCTTTCCAACATTTACAGACATCTCTCTTACCTTCTTCTGTGTGTGTGTGGGGGGGTTAATTCTCACTTTCCCAGAGCACTGAGAACACAGGGCAGACTGGATACTCAGCTGTGTCTCTGTGTCAAAAGGACACATAGGTAGGATACAGGCTCCTTTTTGGCTGACAGATCCAAGACCAAGACACAGTAGATGTCAGCCCTGGGATGAGCCTTTGTTCTCTGAGGGCATGGGGATGATTATCAGCATTATTACTTATTGTGTTGCTTGAAGGAGAAACATAAAGAGAGAAAAGTTGAAGGAAGTGTGGGGCAGTACAGCTATTGGAAGAGACAGAGAGCAGTGCCTGGGAAACAGACCTTACCCCCAGGGCCCATTGAATTCTGGGAAGTTCTCAAGGATGAAAAACTGCTCATCTCCGAAGGAGGAAGGACAGAAGATCCTGGGGCCTGCATTGGAGCTGAAGTTCTCCTCATAGGGAGGACGACACAGTGAGAGGAGAGATGGAGGAGTACTCTGTGATTTTGTGCCAGGGGTGCACCCCTTGGCAGGGGCTCCTGCTCACAGGTAAGTGTGCCCACTCTCTGACTGTGTAGGGGAGGGAAATTCAGGGGCAGGCTGGAGTCTCCTAAAGATGGAAGAAGCCCCAGAGGAGACTCATGGATTCTGTTTGCAGTTATGAGGCAAAACGTAGTGTGACAGACAGAGGCTCAGCAGTCTGAAGCTCTCAGTGAATAGAGAAAAATCTCAAATGCTCCCCATTCAAAGACACTTATAATGGCTGCAATATTCTGAAGTCTGATGTTCCCAACCATGACAGTATGACCCTCCAAACAGAAATAAAACAGACCCCTGAGAGGAGCTGTGACCAAGTTCAGTCCTCTGCTCCCATAGGGTAGATGGAGAGAATAGAGTCCTGCAGGTTCTTCTCTGCCCTCCACACAGGTGCTGTGGTGTGTACCCACATATGCTCATACTGAGACAGGTGCCTTCAGAGGCAGACACATATAGTGCATAAGCAAATGTAAAAAAATAATCACACTTGAGTGTAATAATTGTTATTTGCTCCAAACCTGAGAACTATGTAGATAAACTCATTTTCCTTCCTTCCTTTTTTTCTTCCTTCCTTTCTTCCTCTATCCACTGGTGCCTGAATATTTTTCCAAAGGGGTCACACTAATCCCTGTCCTCACAAATCCCTGCTTCAAGTGGACCTGGCATCAGAGCATCCAGAGGATTGACTGGAAGCACATAAGGAATTGAGAAAAAAATTCAGAGTGATAATCCTCTGGAAGAGGAAGTCACAGAGGCATTGCTCCTCATACCAAATATACTACGTGAAGAGGGACATGGGGACACTCAAAAACCGAGTAAAGAATTCCACAGAGGGGAAATAATAGGCTCTGAGAGATTGGAGGTCATGTTTCTCACCTCCATTAAGGATGGTGGACACATCCCTACCCACACACTTGCTGAGTATTTGCTGTCTTGTCTCTGTTCCCTTCTAGCTTCCCTTTTAACCTGCTGGCACCTGACCACCACTGCCCAAGTCAGCATTGAGTCAGTGCCACCCCAAGTGATTGAAGGAGAAAATGTTCTACTACAGGTTCATAATCTACCAGAGAATCTTCTAGCCTTTGTCTGGCAAAAAGGGGTGAATGAGATGAACCTTGGAATTGCACTATATTCACTGGCTGAGAATGAAAGTATGACAGGGCCCTCACACAGTGGCAGAGAGACAGTGTACAGCAATGGATCCCTGCAGATCCGCAATGTCACCCAGAAGGACACAGGATTCTACACCTTCCGAACCATGAATCGACATGAAAAAGTATTGTCAGTGACAACCACATACCTTCATGTGCACAGTAAGTGATCCTTTGTGAACTCTGGGTGGGGTTCATTCCATTGAACACACACGGAGAAATGTCAACCTAGCCTGTGTCTATCTCTCCTCTGCATGTGTCCCCATGTTGGGTTTGAGCATTCAGTACAGGACACACATGACAAGGAATAACTGGAGTGGATGAAAATTCTTCTTTTAATGTCACCTTGAATACAGGTGGATTCGTGGTAGGGAACTCTTCCAAGGATATCAGTCTCTATCTAGACTCCTAGGGTTCCCACAGAAATGTGTCCCTGAGAAAGACTGAGTGATGACTACAGTGAGAATGGATCTGTCCCCTACCCCATGTAGCACTCAGCTAGTCCTTTTGAAGCCTAACAGGCATCTTTGTCACTTTCCACCTAAGAGGATATTCTATCTTTTTAGAGCACTGATGAAACAGGGTTGACTGGGTGCCCAGCTGGTTTTCTGTGTCCCACAGGGAGTACAGAGGCTTCCCTTTGGTGATGACAGCCCCAGGGCCAGGACAGAGTAGAGGACAGTCCCAGGGTGAACTTCTGTTCTCTCAGGATATGGGGAAGCTCATCAGCCCTTTTGATCACTGTATGGTCTGGAGGAGTGGAGCATAAAGGGAGAAGTGGAGAGGGATATGTGGAGGCACTGAGAGTAAGGGGGCAGAGCAGTGTTTGGAACAGGGAACCCCCACAGTCACATGGAGATGCTCCTTCCTGGAAGGAGTCTCAGCTCAGATGGGGGAAGGATAGCAGAGTTGGGGAGCAGATGTGCCACAGAAGGTGGATGATCAGACTACAGAGACTGAGGGTGCAGCATTGTATCCCTCTGCAATGGATTTCTGACTCTCAGAGACACCTGCTCACTGATGAGGACACCATGAGTTGACAATGTATGAGAGAAGAGGACTGATCTACAGTTTGCTGCCTCCTAACAGGGACAAAGACTTAGAAGAGATGAAGAAGACACAGGGTAGGCCAGAGATTCAGCAGCAGGGAACTCATTCTTGGTGAATCTGAAAAAGTAATAGGGGTGGAGGGGTAGTTCTCATTAGTATGTCCACAATAGTCTTAAGACTGATGTTGTAGGCTTATCTTCCCAGAGGAAAGGCTCAAGGTGGTATAGATCAGGGATGTAGCTCAGTAGATATAAGCATTTGCAGAGATTAATGAACAGAAGTCCTCTGACGTCCACCTAGGCACCGTGTCCCACACCCACATCCACACCCTGAGACACACACAAATGAGCATAAATGAGCATAAAAATCAAAGTTAGCTAGTAACAAGCTCCATCCTCTGATCTTCAGACAAGCTTTATAAGCTTTATTTGTATAATCGAGATATCACAACATTTTCCAGGCACCATTTCTTTAAAAAATACAAGACAAACCCAGGTTCTCACAATGACCTAGTCCCAGTGTGCTAAAAGTAAAGAAAGTGTAGGGGGTGAAGTCAGGTGTTGACTGGAACCACAAGAATAAAGAACATAGACAACAAAAAGTCATCCAGTCAGGTGTTATGTTCTAGAGGGAAAAAAAGCCAGGAAGTCATCCCCCCAACACCAATCTACACTGAATGTGAGCAGGGATCTGAGTATAGTGAACCAGGGTCATATTTACACCTGAGCAGAGGGAGCCATACATAGTAAATGACAAGTGCAGGGACACTGAGGACATAGAAGTCAGTAAATGACAGGAAGACATCCACTTGCATACCTAAGCTAAGCTATGGGCACACCTGCTCATTACACAGAGCTCTAGCTTAGCTAAATACGAAAGTCCAACTACTGATCAAGCTCTGTCTTCCCTTCTAGCCTCCAATTGTGGGCACCCTCCCACCTCTGACAAGCCCACTATTGAATTAGTACCATCCAGCTTTCCAGAAGGAGCAAGTGTTCTTCTAGTGGTTCACAACCTCCCGAAGAATCTTCGAGCCTTTTTCTGGTACAAAAAAGCGGTTGTGTTCAAGAACTTTGAGGTTGCCCGGCATGTAATATCCACAAATTCAACTGTATTGGGCCCTGCACACAGTGGTAGAGAGACAGTGTACAGTAATGGATCCCTGCTGCTGCAGAATGTTACCTGGAGTGACACTGGATTCTATACCCTACGTACTCTGAGTACAGATCTGAAAACTGAATTAGCACATGTGAAACTCCAGTTGGACAGTAAGTGATTATTGTGATCATTCAGTCCTGGGTTGTGTGTAAACACACAGGACTCTCTTGCCTGAACTGTTCATGCCTTCATTCTGTACCGTGTCCCGTGTTGGTGTTTGAGCATTTAGTGCAGGACACACATACTAGAGACAAATAGCCATAGATCAGACTCTTGCCTTGAGTGAACTCTCAGAGGTGTGTGTGTGTGTGAGTGTGTGTGTGTGTGTGTGTGTGTGTGTATGATGGGAAGGGTAAGTCAGTGCAAGTGCATTAGACTCAGTCTCATCTTTGGTGTCCTTGCCATAAACATGGTATTGAGAATGGCTCTGTTGGCATCAGGCATATTTTGGAATCTTCAGAGAAAGGTGAGCACCTCTCTCCCAGGCTTGATTACAAGTGAACTTGGGGAGTATTTTCTGAGGTTTGGACTCTTACATCCTTATGTAGCTGAGAGGGAAACAGCAGCTTTGGGGTATCCATATTTCACAGCATGTGAAACCAACTAGTGCACTGATTTGAGAACCACATTCAAGTTAGGTCACCTGGACATCTCCTTCTGAGACTCAGCATGGAGGGCAGAGCTAGACAGATGCCCAGACTACCAGCCAACTCTTTTGATGGGCTTATGATAATTCAAAGGAAGATCAGTGTCCCCAAGGTGAAGTACAGAGTGCATAGGTTCACTTTGTATGTGCTTGTCCTCTGGAATCCACCCAAGGGAATTGCCTCATGGATCCAAATAGTCTTTATGTCTTCTAGATATGAGCATCTGTCATCCTATTGATCATCTGGGGGTGATATTAGCTCACAGTCAAACCCTGAGATGCTTGTTTCCTAGAGAAGATGAAAGAAACATATGTGACTTACATTTCTGTCCCAATAGACCTGGAGGTCCCTCCCACAGGACATTATGACCTATTGGTGCTTCCTTTGTCTGAGAAAAGTACTATGCTAGGGTACCATGTTCACCCTTCTTCCTTCTAGCAAAGGATAGAGTTGTCCCTAAAATGTCAGTGTGAACATGGACAAACCTGAACCATACCTCAGCCAACAAAAGAATTTAGGTTTCTATTTGAAACCCTCAACAGCAGAGTAAGACCACACTTTTCCAGGACACAGGTGACATTCTCAACAGACAGGACATGGATCTCCTGATTCCACTCTTCCTGGATGTCTGTCCTGGATCTGACCTTGAAAGGTCTCCCTAGTGTCCTTCTCCTGACATCACTCAGGTGGTGCCTTTCCAGCTGTCACAGATATCTGTCACCTTCTGGATGTGAGCAAATTCTACCTTACCAGAGCACTGAGGATACAAGGACAACTGGGTTCATGGCAGAGTTTCCGTGTCCCAGAGAATGCATAGGGATGAGAGAGTCTCTCCTTCTTTGGTGCTGCAGATCCAAGGTCAGGACTCAGCAAAGGTCAGCCCTGGGGTGAGCTGTTAGACTTTGGGACACAGGAATGATTATTGACCTGTTGCTCAATGTGTGGTCTGGAGGACTGATAAAGAAAGACATTCAGGAAGAGAATCATCAAGCAATGCTAAAGAGAGGAAGGAAAAGTGCCTTGGACAAGTACCCATCCACAGTCCATGCAGCTATTTAATGGTCTTCTGCCTTGTAGCAGGCTTACCTCAGAGGGAGGCTGGACAGCAGAGCTCACTCATATCAGAGCTTACTGTGGGACAGAGGAGTGTGGTAGCAGTGCTTGGAGACCCTGCCTTGTTCCAAGGGGCACCATGGGCAAGGGCTATTCTGCTAAGTGAAGAGAATTCTCTAGACATGTGTGGAGGGAGAGCTCAGGCCCTGGGTGGAGTCTCTAAGGTGGACAAGCATCTGAAGGAGAATCAAGGTGTCTTCTTGCCCTCTTGAAGGTGGTACATAGGAGGACGGAGATATAGAAGTAGGAAGTTGTCAGTGAACAGGAAAAGGTAAGGGTTAGGGATGAAAGCCAGTTTGCTTTCTATTCAATGACAATCAGGTTGGTTGATATATTCTTAATACTGATGTTCCCAAATGTAACAGGTGACAAAGAAAAGAATCTAACATGGGAGGGTCAGTGAGGTGTCTCATTGAGTGAAGGCAAATCCTGCCAGGCCCAGTGGTCTGAATTTAGTCCCCAGCTCCCATGTGGTGGAAGGAGAGTACCCTCTTACTCCTCAAAATTGTCCTGTGCCTCACACGTACAGTGGCATGCATGCAGCAATATACACATGGATGTAGGAATGCACATGTATTCTTGAACACATGAAATAAATGTAAAAAATTAAATAAAACTCTGGGCATGATGGGCCTTGGGACATTTCTTACTCATTATCATGTTCATTCATTCGTTTATTCATTCATCCATTCATTCTTCACAGATGTGAGAACATTTTCTAAGTAGCATGCCTTCCAAAAATGGTCTTCACAAAAGTATATTCCAAGTGAACTTGAAGACTCCAGTAAAGAAAGCTCAAAGGTGAAGTTAAGTGTTGTCTGGAACCATAAGAGGAAAGAACATAGGCAACAGAAATGTCAGAGAATCAGGTGCTAAGGTTTGTAGGGAAACAAGCCAGGAAGTCATCCCCCCAACAGCAATCTACACTAAATGTGAGTAGGGGTCTGAGGGCAGTGATCTTGGGCCATGTAAACAACTGATCAGAGAGTCTCATACAGAGAAAATGACATGTTCTGGGACAATGAATGCATAGAGATCATGCCCTGACTCATCTAATAGGACAGGGAGACACACATCTTGCTTGAGCAATGGACACACCTTCTTAGGACACAGGGCCTCTACTTAGGCAAATACAAAAGTCCTACTTCTAATGGATCTTTCTTCCCTTCTAGCCTCTCATTGTGGACCCCATCCCACCTATGCCCAAGCCACTGTTGAATTAGTTCCACCCAGCATAGCTGAAGGGGGAAATGCTCTTTTAGTGGTTCATAATCTCCCGAAGAATCTTCGAACCATTTTCTGGTACAAAGGAGTGACTGTGTTCAAGAACCATGAGGTTGCCCGACACATAGTAGCCACAAGATCAAGTATACTGGGCCCTGCACACAGTGGTAGAGAGACAGTGTACAGCAATGGATCCCTGCTACTCCAGAATGTTACCAGGAATGACACTGGATTCTACACCCTACGAACTCTGACCACAGATCTGAAAGTTGGAGTAGTGAATGTACAAGTCCTAGTAGACAGTAAGTGATTTTCTGCTATCATTCAGTGTTCTGTTATATTTAAACACATAGCACTGTCTTTTCTGGCCTGTGCATAGTGTCCCCGTGTTGGTGTTTGAGGTGTGGACACACGTGATGGATAAAAATGGTGATAGACCATGCTATATCATCTGATTCCCCCTCTGTCAAGAAAGTCCTTGATGCAAGGTCACTCATCCTAAGATACCAGATTATGCTCAGTCTCATGAAAACCCCAATGAACATTTCAGTAAGGAAGATCATGTTGGCATTAGACAGGAGCTGCTTGAGGAAATCATGGCATCTCAACAGAGAGGCAATCACCAGGAAGACTTGTCCACACTCCACTCTCCTAGGCTCAACTATTAGTGACAATAGGGGACAAATTGCTAGAGACAGACTATTAATGCCTCTTAATGCTAAATGGGAACAATGTTTTTCAGCTGTCCATGTCAAACTGGGGCATTTATTTTTTACAAACATGAATTTCATGAATAAATCTAGAACTGCTGCAGAGAGAGTGGAGGAGTGATACCTGTTAGTTTGTTCTTCATTGCTTGCTCAGTCTTGTCTCTTATGTCATCCTGGAACCCTTAGGATAGGAGCAGATCTGCTTTCAGTGAGCTGGACCCATCCACATCAACAACCAATTTAGAACATTTTACAATATATTTGTCCACAGACCAACATAGTGGTGGCATTTTCAATTGAGTCCCCCCTCTTCCAAGTCAATGGCAGCTTGTGTGACATTGACATTAAACCAGCCATCCTAGTATCTAAGTCTTTTCTAACACCTGAGCTTGCTAAGAGTATCAGACTTCTTCTCACCTTTGTCTAATTCTAGACTTGTGGGATTCAGGGCAGAGCAGCAAGGACTGGAGCTACAAAGAAAATTGAGGAAAAAGCTATAGAACAAAGATGTGGGGTCTTTGGAGAAAAAGTTCAAAGGAGCCGTAATCTCAACCTCAGTATGCAATGCTGAAGGCAGTGAGTGGCAGCTGCATAGACACCCCAGGAAACAGTTCCATGTAGAGGAAATGACATATTCATGGGAACTGAGGAAATGAAGTTCATGTTGTTGACATCCACCAAGTGGGCTACAAACACCCACACCTTCATCTCTAGGCTGAGTGATAAATTCATCTATTTAGGATGAAGGTTGCTATCTTCAGTGATAACTGTTTTTCTTTGTCTTTCAGCCTCCCTTTCTGTGTGTTGTAACCCTCCCACTTTTGTCCAGCTCATGGTAGAGTCAGTGCCACAGAATGTTGTTGAAGGAGAAAGCGTTCTTCTCCTTGTTCACAATCTACCAGAAGATCTTCGAGCCTTTGCCTGGTACAAATCAGTGTATAACACCGAGAGTTTTAAAATTGCGGAATACAGCAGAGTCATGAATTACATCACCCGGGGGCCTGCCTACAACAGCAGAGCAATGGTGTACACCAATGGATCCCTTCTTCTCCAGGATGTCAAGAAGAGAGATGCAGGATTCTACACACTACAAACTTTAAGCAGAGATTTCAAAATTGAAAAAGCACATGTACAACTCTTTGTGTACAGTAAGTGATTCTTTATGGTCTCTAGCTCCTGGGTGTGGCTTATCCTAATTCACACACTGAACTCCCAGGACTGGAGTGTACCTGCCCCCCTTCCTCCACATTGTGTCCTTACAAGGGGGTTTGGACCTGTACTACAGGACACACATGGAGTAGACAAACTGTAATTTGTCATAACCCCTCACCTTTCTTTACCTGTAGATTTAAGAACCTGTGCTTGGTAAACTCAGCCCCAGGATGCCAGCTGCAGCCAAGACACTGTGAGCCCTCACTGTGCACATGTACCACAGAAAGACACTATGGGAGTCAGGCAGGCTTTGGCTGATGAAGGCATGGAATCCTCATAGAGAGTGCCAGGAAGCCCTGGCTGCACATCTTTGTCTCTGACTGGACTCCATATGACACTTTGGGGCTTTTAGCTACTGCTTGGTTTTGATTTCTTGTGAAAGCTGACAAGGAACAAGGTTTTATTGGTATGTGGAACCAGTTAGTACAATGTCATGAGAGCTATAGTTATATTAGGCCACCTGGATATCTTCCTCAGAGATAGCACATGGGTGCATAGCCAGTCAGGTGCCTAGACACATAGCTCATTGTTCTGATGGACTTATGAGACTTCACAGGAAGGACAGGTCAGGATCCCCAAGTGGAATAACACAGGACAGAAGACTTCTTGCAAGTGATTTTTCCTCTGGAGTCCAGCTCTGAAATTCTTTCCTATGGGTAAATAGTAACAGAGGTGCTGATTTGGGCAGCTCCCAGACATGAGGGACCATTCCTCCAGTAATCATTAGGCTGCCATAGAAGGACACAAAATCAATACTGAGGAAAGTTTTTCCAGGAGCCATGGTCTTAACTGTAGCCTACCTTCAATTCATGTCCCTATAGGTCATTTATTTACATCTTTCATAGACATCCTGGTTGCTTTCTGTGTTTCTAAGCACACTTCTCTGCCAGAGGATCCTATGTTACCAACCCATATCTCCTGGCACATCCCATGAGGACATCACCTAGACAGATGTGAGCTGCATCCCAGGAAGACATATAGAGACGCAAGGCATGGCTCAACTATCACAGGAATATGGAGGGTCCCTCTGATAGAGCCACTATCCTCTTTCCAGGACTCAGGTCACCACCTGCTTCATATCTTCATGAATTTCCTTCTGGGTTTCATGTCCATGAATGGTGATTCCATTGAGAGTGGATGTCTCCCTTTTCCCAGGCATTACTCAGCTGGCCCCTTTACAGCGTTCATAGACATCAATGTCACCTTTCCATGGGGAGTAAATCCCATCTTATCAGAGCATTGAGAACACAATGCAGAATAGGTGCTCTGCTAGGACTCCATGCTATAAAGGATACATAGGAAGAACATAGCAGAGGGCAGCCCTGGGGGTGGTTGTTGTTGTCCTAGGGCACAGAGATCATCATCAGACTTGTTGCTCATTGCATGTTCTGCAGGACTGAAAAATACATAGAGAACCCGACTGGGATACCAGGCAGGACTAAGAGTTGTAAGGACAGAGAATGACCTTGGACACCATTCCAGACAACATTTCCATTAACCTCAGAAGTGCCCCTGCCTGTCAAGTGCAGAGCTCAGAGAGTGGAAATCCACAAAGATTGGGGAAGTGCTGGAGGAAAAGCTGTTCTTCACAGAGGGAGGGAAGAACACATGGCAGCACCTTTGGAGGCCCACTATGCACCTCTCTGAAAGTGGTGCAGCCCCTGGTAGTGGATCCTGTACACTGGAGGGAAGAACATTGTCTGATAGTTTGAGGAGGGAGGGGAACTCAGAGACTGGCTGGAATCTCCTAAAGTGGAAGTATAGGAAATATTTTAATCTGGATGCTGTTACCTGCATTCACACATACATGCACGATGTCATACACATGCTCATGTACAAGCACACTCAGACTCCCATCCCCCTGCCCCCACCCCCCCACATAAGTTAATGTAGGCTGGAGTTGTAACTGGTAATAGTAGCTCCACACATGAGAATTTCATAAATACCCAGACGTGAAAATCCAAGGAAATTCCTTCTTCCATCCACCCACATGTATCTCAGTCTGTCCATGGATTGGGCCTTCCAGAAGGAGCAAACTAATTTTTCTAATAAGGCCCCAGCTTTAGAGAACTGGAAGACAGACTAGGAAGCCATCTCAAAGTAAAGTCAGGGTTTGACTGCATACAGAGTGATAAGACATCAAAGAGATAAGAATGGGAAGACTGAGGTCTGCAGAGGAAGAATTGAGGGAAGGCACCCCACCCCAACCTTTTCTGAGTGTGAGCAGGCATGTGACAACAGCGAGTGTGTAAACATGGGAGGAGAGAGCTCTCCACACAGGATGTGACACAGTCAGATGCACAGATGTCATGGAGGTCATTTGTTACTTCATTACTCTGAGTTTGATAGACACTCCCACCTACCTCAGCTAAGTGATGGTAAAAGCTTCTCAGTAATCAGGCTCCAGCTTTTTCATCAAAGACAAAGAGGTCTCAGTATTGACGAATTTGTCTCTCTTCCCTTCTACCCTTTCATTTAGCCTGCAAGCTTCCACCCAAGGATGCCCAGTTCTCTGTTGAAGCAGTGCCATCCAATGTTGTTGAAGGGGAAAATGTTATGCTACTTGTTCATAATATCCCAGAGAATCTTCGAGGCTTTTCCTGGTACAAAGGGGTAACCTTCGTCAGCAGACATGTGATTGCAGGGAAGGAAATAATTGCTGATAAAAGTTGGCTGGGGCCTGCACACAGTGGTAGAGAGATTGTGCACCCCAGTGGATCCCTGCTGCTCCAAAACACCACCCAGAAGGACACTGGATTCTACACCCTACGGACCTTAAATACACAGTTTGAAATCAAAGAAACACATGTGTACCTCCACATATACAGTAAGTGATTCTTTGTCCCTTTCCACACAGAGGACTGAAGTTGTAAACTGATTGCCTCCCCTCTGCACTGTGTCTCCACATTGAGGTTTGAGCACTTAGTGCAAGTAGACATACTAAAACAGACCAGAATCCCTCACCTGACTCCACCTAAAGAGGAGGATGCATGCTGAGTAACTCAGTCCAAGGATATCATCCTCAGAATCTTGGGGCTCTTATCATGAACATGGCTTTGAGCAAGACCTCATGGGAGTCAGGCATGGCCTATCAGAGAAACTATGGTTTCATTATGGTGAGGTGAACATCAGGCAGCCCTTGATCGAGACCTCTGTTCCAGGCTCAACTCCAGAAGACCATGGAGAACTTGTCCCCTGGGCTAAAATTTGACTTCCTGTCAGAGCTGACATGGGACAAGCCTTTAACAGACTGTCCAAGACCCATAGATTGTGGAATCAACTGTGTACTGCCATGGCAGTTGCAGTTAGCTAGTGACCTGGGTATCTTCTACACCTGAATCTCAGTGGACAGCTGCCAGGACTAAGCCAACTCTTCTTATGGGCTTAGGGGTCTTCATGAGGAAGAAGACCAGGCTGCCCAAGAGGATGGACAGAGGGGACAGGTCTCTTTAGGGGTCCAGCATAGGGAATCCTCTTCTAGAGGTAAATAGTAAGTGATGCTGCTGATTTGGGCAGCCCCCCCATTCCAAGGTCAGGTCATTGCTAATGTCTAAGCTTAACTCAGGGCCCTGAAAATGATCATGCTCTGTGTGTACTGTTGAAGGGAAACACAGCGAACAAACCAGGGACACACAGGCCATGGGTGACAGTTCTAAACCACAAAAACTCTCTATTGTCATAGCCCCAATGTCTCCACCCTGGAGGGCTTATTAAGTGTCCATTAACTTCAGAGGAGCTAGATGAGATCTTTTAAGGATTATGGTCATTACTACCCCCCTCTTTTGCTTCACAGAGCCTGTGACACAGCCCTTTATCCGAATCAACAGCACCACAGTTACAGCACAGAACTCTGTGGTCCTCACATGCTTCTCAAGAGATACTGGAGTCTCCATCCGTTGGATCTTCAATAACCGAAGTCTGCAGCTCACAGAGAGGATGACACTGTCCCCAACAAAGTGCCGACTCAGCATAGATCCTGTCAGGAGGGAGGATGCTGGAGAGTATCAATGTGAGGTGTTCAACCCAGTCAGTTCAAAGACCAGTCTCCCAGTCAGCCTGATTGTGATGAATGCTTGACCTGTCTGATCTCTTACAGCAGATTTGGGGCATTTCTTTATGGTCTGGTACAACAAGGAGAAAAGCTTTGTGGTAAAAGTGATTGGTCACCACTCAGGTGCAGCCAACATGGTGACTCATGACACTAACCCTTTCATAATGGTGTTTCCCAGGACAGGACAGGGCATAAAGAGAGACTTGGTTTCCAAAAGGTAAAAGAAGACAATAATATAGTAAACAGAAATGCAGGAGTTCAGAGCTTAGGTTGTTGATCAAATATTTAGACAAGTCTCAGAATCCATGGAAACACATTTCATGAAGCCCCATGTTCTGGATGTGACAAAACAGGACATCCAATTGTTTGTGGTCATTATTCATTTACAGAAGTACAGCTCATATGTGCTGGTTTGCTCACAAGTTTCAAAAATTTCTGTGGAATTTTTAGGATTTTCCATAGATCAGTTCATGTCATCTGCAGACACATTGGTTACCTTTCATTTCTTTGTCTTGCCTAATTGCTCTGTACATGACTCCTGAGGGAATCCTGCACAGAACTGTCCACAGAAGCATCCTTTGTTGATCCTGGTTCTAGAGGGAAAACTGTCAGTGTACCCCACTGAAAAATGAGTTGGCTGGGTTTCCATGTGTATGCCTACTGCTCTGGCCTATCGTCTCTGCCCAGCATGGCTGCTTTCATCATTAACAACTGTTTACTTTGTTAAATGTATTTATTGATTCATAATATCAGGGGTTGGTCACCTTCAACATTAACCACCAGGCAGCACTACTGTTCTGTCTAGGTGAAGTTCAGGGCCTGTTTTGTTCAGTGCTGTAGCTGGTAAAGGGGAGAGTCATCTCTCTCATTTGTTGAAGAGAAGTGGCCACAGGACTTAGAAGGAAATTTCCCAATGTCTCCACTGAATACAGCTGGACCTGTGCTTTCATGTGTGGCCCTATTGTACTGGAATACTATACTATTCCTTGTTTCTTTTTATTATCCTCAATAACTGTTCATTCTAGGTAGGTGGTGGTGGCATTTTCCTTTAATACCAACACTTGAGATGGAGAAGCAGGTAGATCTTCATGAGGCTGAGGCCAGCCTGGTCTACAAAGCAAGTTCCAGTGCTGTCAGAGTTATACAGAGAAACACTGTCTTTAAAAACAAAACAAAACAGATTGTTCATTTTGTCAAATAGCATCACTTTTGTGCTTCTTCATGCTTCTATCTCTGTTGCTACTGGGCTTCCTGGAATATGTCTGTTTTATCTGGGCCACTCAACAGTTAGCAAACAGGTATTGAGCACTCATGGTAGTCTTAGAATTCTGAAAATGGACTGTAGGTGTCAAATTTTACTTCTAGTACTAACAATGTTATTCTTTTAAAAACAAAAAATGCTGACACTGTTCTAACCTGCCTCAAGAGCAAAAGAGAGTGCAACGCAGTGTTGATGCTTTTCTCACCCCCTTTCTAAAATTTCTACCTTAACTAGCCACACTTAGGAATATAGTTTAACACATGAATGGACCCTCTCACTTCTTAGAAATATATAGCCCCCTCCTCAATTGACCATTTGCCACTCAGAAATGCCTGGGAGTCTCACAAGTCACACCCCCTCTGTGCCACAAAGGAAACCGATAGCTGTTGTGTGTAGCCCTTATCTGTTTTTATAACCCTGGGGAATGCAACTGTTATAAGCTTGCTATTGCCAGAGAATTGCTGTGTGTGTGTGTTTACAAGCTGAAAACTTTGTAGGTTGGCAGAACAATAAAGAAACTGATGTGGAAAAGTACATACTGGAGAATTTATTCCACCGTCAGATTTTTCTAGTACACATGCTTGCTATAGCACTCTCTATGAACTCTGAGTTTGATGGGGGAAGTCCTTCTGTGTATATGTAAATATGTAAATGTCTATAGAGAAGCAAGATAGGTGGAACTAGGAGTCTAGGAGGAATCTGGGAATTGTAGTGAGGACACTCATCACCATGTGATCATGGGGAGAGGACGAATGAGGCTGCATCCTTGGAAAGATAAGTCCTTATAAAAATATATGTTAGTAATTATGGGTTAATAATTAAGTCAGAGCTAGCCGATTAGAAACCATAGCAAATGGTCAACAGCTTCATAACTGATATAGTGTCTTGTGTGTTATTTGGGGGCTAAAGCAGCAACAGGACCCAGGCAGGATCCCTCAACAATATGGCACCAACGACGTGGGTATTAGAAACTTACACTCAAAACTTGACGAAAGCTTAAAAAGGGATTTTACAATCAAAAGAACAGAGGCAAACACAGCTTCTTAGTAGCAGCATTTTTTTCAGGTGGGCTCTATTTTGCTAGAGACAAACATAGGCTCGTACAGGCATTGCTGGCAGTAAACTTATGCCTGCCGTCTTGCAAAAAGAGCCATTAAAACAGCCACGGTTTTTATTTTTATTATTTTTTTTGGTTTTACGAGACAGGGTTTCTCTGTATTGTTTTGGAGGCTGTCGGTCCAACCCAGCTTCGAACTCACAGAGATCCGCCTGCCTCTGCCTCCTGAGTGCTGGGATTAAAGGCGTGCACCACCACCGCCCAGCCACGCGGTTTTGATTTTAGCAATGCTGTTTAGCAGATAAAAGACAAGTGGTCACAAAAACATAAAGATTTATAGTAAAGTCAGATTCAGATGAAGTAACACCTCTAAAAGGTTTACAGTATGTTTAAAAATATACATAGGCTTGAGAGAGAAAAAGAAACAGGATAGTGGTTAAAAAATAAGAGAGAAGCCGGCGGTGGTGGCTGTCTCGTAAAAACCAAAAAAAAAAAAAGAGAGAATCACTGGACAGTGGTGCTGCACACACCTCTAATCCCAGCACTCCAGAGACAGGCAGGCAGATTTCCACAGAGAAATCCTGTCGCAGAAAAAAATAAATAAAAGTAAAAGAAACAGAGTAATAAAAAACCACGTAAAGATGAAAAATACAAAGAGAGTCTGGATACTGTGTGCTATTGTGTTGTCTTTAAATTGTTGAGAGCTAAGTAAATAGCAACAACTGGTAAAATTCACTTTATTGTATATGCTGCTAAGTTAATCTAACTTATATATATTAAAAATGCTTTGACTTATAAATTTAAATGTAAGGACAGGTTACTTGGGAAAGGAACTTCTGCTTTTGTTTCCACAGAAAATGAGGAGCTGTGGGTTCCTTCCAGACTAGTATGGTTTGATGAAGAAAGACCTCCGGAAATAGTATCCCAGGTGATCAAATATCTAAAGTAGCTGAGATCATGTACACTTGCAAACTACAAAAACAGGGACTTTGCCAGGTTTCTGTGTTTTGTCATGATCCCCATCCAGTGCCCCCATCCAGCAGGAAGCAGTTTGGAATGAACAATGCCCAAATTCCTAAACATTGTTCATAAAGCTCTGTTTTCATTTAAATTGGGTTGCTTATAAATTGTAATGAAAACAGTCAATCTCCTTTTAAAGGGGAAAGTCAGAATATGATATAGAAGTGAATAATTTGTATTGGTATGGAATTTCATTTATTAATACAAATTTAGGTCAGTTTTGTGATATGTATAGTTCTCTTCTTATTTAGGTATTGTGTTTGTATAACTCATTTAAAAATATAATGTATCATTAAATACAGATTATACATAGTTACCTATAATAGTCAGAATTTACAGTTAGGTAAGTCAGGCTTTCTAGATATACAGAGATATATTTGAGATAAATAGTCTTCAAACCTTTCAAAGACCTTCAGAAAATGGCATTTAAAATGGGTTAGGGCTTTTCTTGAAAACGAGAAATCTCTGCTCCTGGTACACCAGTTACATCTGAGAGGAAGATGGGCATTGAAGAAACTCGTTTTGGAGTTTGCTTTCAACATGGCAAGATTAGCCATTTGGACAAGAAACTGCTCTTGCCTAGACTGTTTGACTGTTGCTGTATAAGATGGATATGCAGGACCTACAGGAAAGTGCCTACTGAACTTGGACAGTCCTACAGGGTTCCTGCTTCATGGAAGAGTCTGACAGACATTCTGCAGGACAGAGAAAATGACTGACAAACTGCCAATTCAGGTGGACAGCTTAAAATTTCCTGGGATCCTGCAACATGAGTTGGCACTGAGCCTGGTACTCAAAGTCTCCCTTCCCCGATGCATTCCTAGATCATTCTTATATTCATGCTTCAACTATTGGTAACCAGTGGCTCATGTCAGTCATCATGAACTTCCAAAAAGAATGGATCATTTTGTGGTCCAGCTGGACCACTGAGTTGGAAGCAGGCCTGCTCCTGGTATCCTAGTGAGGTTTCTGTTCAGACATCAAGTCCTGAGGACAGGTTGTGAGAGTACCCAGCGAAGTAACAGGGAATTCTCATCACCACCTATCTGTAGGACAGCCTTAGACAGTAAATTTTGGAGGGCACTGGCCCAGGCTGAGCAGTGGTAGTCAGTGCACCTAAAGGGATATATCTGCTCCTGGCAAAACAAATATGCTTCAAGGAAGATAATGGGCATGGAATAACCACCATATGTAGTTAGCTTCAAATGTGCTGAACCTAGTCACTGAGCAAGAAACTGCCCTGGTCTCTACTACTGAGAGCATGCTGCACAAACTGGTTATGCAGGACACAAAAGAAGAAGGCTGCCTAATTTTGCCAAGACAAGGTAGACCATTCCTTCAAAATTTCTGCTTCACAAAAAATTCTGCCAGTATCAGATATCCCAACATTGCAGAGGAACTTTAGGTGACTGTCCACGCAGCCAATTGTCTTTTTCATTTCTATGGTTTTAGAAGTTGCTTGTTCTACACTTCCTGTTTACTAAGATAATGTCATATCCTTCTCAGGTCTCTGATGATGTTGAAGACTAGATAGTTGTGTTGCCATTTTCTTTGTAATACAATTTAAAAAAACTCTCAAAAGAGATGTAAAATTTATAAAGTTTGAGAGACATAAAAGTTTAAGTTGTTTGCCAGCGATTCAGGGAGACCAGGGGACCAGCAGTTCTGGCGGAACCAGGTAA